ATAAATTTACTCTAATCATATAGATACAATTTTTTTTTTTTTTTTGACGATTCAGTAAAACAAAAAAACCTAAAATTCATAATATTTAAGATATGCGGTGTGCGCCAGTACTAGCTCGATTGTGCTAGCGCACCCTTGAATGTGCCAGCGCTCACTTAAATATGCTAGAGCGCCCTCGGAATCCTTGGATGCGCCAGCGCCCTCTCGATCGTGCTAGCACGCCCTCAGAATCCTCGGATGCACCAGCGCTCGCTTGGATATGCTAGTGGTGCCAGCACTCTCTTGGTTGTGCTATGGCGCCCTCAGATACGCTAGAGTACATTCAGGCAGGCTTGTGTACGCTAGTATTTCTCGGATGCGTTAGCGTACGCTCGCATATTTTAGTATTCCTCAGATGTGCTCGTGTACGCTAGTATTTCTAGGAAGTACTCGTATAAGCTAGTATTCCTTGGGTGCAATGTGTTCGCATGCACTTTCATATGCTGGTATTCCTCAGCTGTGTTCACACATTCTTGCATACGCTAGTATTCCTTGGATATGCTCGTGCACACTAGTACTTCTCGAACGTGTTGACCTACGCTTGCATACCCTTATAACCGTTTGTGTACACTAGTAGTATTCATCAGACGCATTCACGGGGGTGTAAGAGACACCCAATAGTTGTCTGGCTGGTGCGAGAGCAGGTAAGGTCTTACGGTGAAAGACACTGTCACTAGGTTCTGCCTAACACTCGCATCCTTCTGCGAGGGACAAACAAGGTTGCACTCGAGCACAGTAAAGTCTCACGGACGTGTGGGGACAATTTTAGGTGATGCTGTAATATGCCAATGCCGCACGGACGTGTCAGGTAGCACTAGGGCTTGTCTAACTTGAAGACGGTCACATGTAAAAAAAAATTGATCAGTTGGTACTCCCTCGAACATTGCACATGTGCGGAATAGCTGGAGAATATTATCGGTTGTGCTGAGGTACGTATGATACGCGGGGCCACGCATGGGGCATGTTAGATGCTATTCGAGAATGTCTGATAAGTGCATAACTACCAAATATAGCTAGGTGGGGCTGGAATCACTGGTCATAGATCAAGACGATAAGACGTGATAGGTAGTTTTGGTATGCATAGCCTATAATACACAGGGACACATTAGATGGCACCAAAACACACCTAATGTAACGTTTAAAGCCAATAAAAAACTATTCAATTTAATATGCATAATTATAAGATTAAAATTTGAGGAAGCTACGGTGGCGTAGTCATAAGTTTAATTTTGTCAGATTATACTATGTTAACTAGAAATTGGGTCGCTTACATGTGCATACGCAAGTTAAGTAAGGCATCGCCCAAGACTTTTATGTTATATGCGTGCCATGTTCGAGGCTTACGCGAGCTACGTTGGCATGCCCTGCTTGGTTGTATGTGTGTAGTCCAGGGGGTGATCGATATCGTATATGCTGTATTCTATGACGAGCTAGTAAAAATCCTAAACTGTCTAGAAAGTTTAATAATGGTCTTTGTCTACTCAACAGTGATTCGCCAGGCAAAGCTAAGGTACACCGATGCAAAGGCTTTCACGATAGGATTCGATGCTAGTCGGGAAGAGTTGAGGCTGCAAATAATCACTGATCTTGCGTATGCTCAGCTAATCTAGAGTCTTAGGGATTTTCTTGAAACATGAAATAATGTTAGATGGCGCTAGGGTGATTTTGCGTTTAAGGGTACAGGTATTTCCGGCTGCCAGGAAACTTTCGCACTGTGAACACAGCCTAACAATATCATGTTATTGGGTTCTTCTGAATTGTCTAAGCTACACAGTTTTGAGTATAAGTAGCTTTATGTTAAATAAAGATAAGACGCAATCGATAAAATCAAGGGTCTTAAACATAATTCATTGGTGTATACTTTATGTACAATTTTAACGTATATATTTGAATCATTTATGCAATGAAATATTTATCGCAACTTACACTTTTATGTTATTATCTAGGAAGGAACGAAAAATTTTGAAGGAAAAGGCAACTTTTATATTAAGGAGTGTGATGTCTCAAGAGAAGCAAGCGTGGATAATGTATTTGATTGGATAAAAAATACATTTGGTACAGTAAATATCCTTATTAACAATGCTGGATCAATAAAACATGTCAAAATCGAAAGTATGTAGTAACTTTAAGTTTAATTTTACGTTTTACATTATTTATTACTTGAATTAAATAATACCTTAGTAGATATGTTGAAAGAGAATTTTGGGACTACGCATGTTGGCCAAAGCTTTTTGACTCAAATTTTATTCATAATTATCATAATAAATTCTCAGCTCGAAGACGAACTGGAATTGTGCAGTAAATATATAAAAGTGTTTGTACATGAAAAAAAAAAGAATTGTTAGCAGAATTGATTAAACTACGATGTTTTAAATTGCTTTTAGCTAAAAATAAAATGGTTGTCGCAAGTTCCTCAACATTATGTAGTGCTAAAAGTAAAAATAGCTTCTAACTGTGGTGTACTTAAAAAAGTGGAAAAGATACTCATAATTTTTTTTTGCATTGTGTTATCATTTTTCTGGTACATTTAGGCTTATTATATAAAAGTTTATAATTTAGGGCTCGGTTATTGTTAAAGGCCTCTTATTTAAAACTTTTTAGGTATTATCCTATTTCAAAGGTTCTTAATGTGCTAAAGCAGTATACTTTATGACCTCTACTAACCTTACTTTGTGACGTAGATGTTTCGGCCGAAAAATGGCGGTCCTGACATCTTGTCATGAAACTATTTCGTACTTTACCTTTTACGTAACTTGACGCTAGATTTCTTTCTTCCAAGAAGTGTGCCACAAGTGTTTGGCTCGGAAACACCAAAAACTTCGGATAGGAAATTATAAAGGGAATGACAGGGCACTAGCTATAAATTTACTCTAATCATATACATATACATGTATATAGTTATGCCAATGGAGCTTCGCCGCTCTTTTGCGTGCCAACCCCCTAATACTCTACCTCTGAAAAATATTTGTGTGACTTATTACAATAACTTGATTTTAAGTCCTAAATTATGAGTCATGTGATATTATATTTCAAAAATTCATGTATATTGCGTACAAATATTTTAATCAAACAAAACGGAATTTTTAAAACAGAAGTTCAAATTAAAAGTTTCCGTGAAATTTATAGTATTTTCGTGAAAACCAAGCAGAAAAGTTTTAACTTTTTTAAGATTTAAGAAAAATTGAAAATAATTCAAGAAATTTAAATTTAACACTTTTTTCTGTTAACAATAACAGTAAGTGTTATAATATACTACATTATACTAACGGAGGACTAAAGAAAAACTTAGAGAAAAT